GAAACTATTACATTATGCAAAAACTTGAAGTTTTTGTGTTTAAAATTTTTCAGTGAAGGAGACATCTGAAAGCTGTTAGCTTCAACCCTGGAGAAACAAAGACATATTGCAATTTTTGGAATTTATTGTGAAATGGGATTTTTAATGAATTGTGCCAATCTTTTCCTTAGATTTTTTTCTAAATATATATATTGCTTTCTGTGGAGAAAATTTTTAAATTAATATCAATATTTAGTCATAAAAATGAATGACATGCTGATGTGTATTACCAATGGATGAACTTTGAAAACATTATGCTAAGTGGAAGAAGCCAGACACAAAAGGCAATATTATGTGATTCTTTTTACATGAAATGTCCAGAATAAGCAAATCTAGAGACAGAAAGTGAATTAGTGGTTTCTAGGGAGAAAGGGAAGGGGAGAAGGGGGAGTGACTACTAACAGGTATGGCATTTCTTTTTGGGGTGATGAAAATATCCTGGAATTAGATAGGGTGATAGTTGCACAACCTTGTGAATATACTAAAAAGGTAGGAGCTGTACACTGAGTTGTACACTTCAAAAGAGTGAATTTTATAGGATGCGGATTATATCTCAATAACAAATTAAGATTATTAAAAAGTTTCCTTTGATCAACCATAAGTGAGATAGATCAACAAATCTGGCTATACTGTCTATATGTGAAGATCAATTTTGACAAAGTCACTGACAAATTTGCAAAAATTAAGACCTGGAACAGAAATTGTAATGTTATAATTCATTTCTATGACAGACCAATATGTAAGTATATGTTTTTCCTTTGTATTTGAAATAAAAGTATATGAATATAATTGCATTATTAATCTGTTGCCTTTTCCTGTCTTTTACTGTTTTATCCATCTATCTATCTATCTATCTATCTATCTATCTATCTATTTACTGGCCTTGTTAGACATATGAGCATAGGAAGTCAGTAAAAGAAAATTATTACTCTTTCCATTTCTTCTATTATTTTTCATATCATGATTAATACTGAGATTATTTTTTTGTTATAGAGAAGGGTTTAAAATTGATATGCTTCAGTTGTCAAATGTGTAAAGTATGCCATTGGTGTTAGATACTGTTACTGAAAGTCTAAGAAAAAATCAAGGTCTAAACTGGAATGGCAATGAAGGGAATGCAAAGGAAAGAGATAGATAGATATAGATAGATACGTAGGTAAATAGATACTCTATGAATAAAACAGTTCTGTACAGTTAGGGGTCAAGGAAGAGGGAGATGTCAAGTACGAAATGTATCTCCAGCCTGATAATAACTGGCAATTCTTGGGAGTGTGGTTTATAAATATAGGTACCCAATGCCTAGAAATGCCTCTGAACATAGAGGTTCCTCAATACATATTTTTTGTTTGACTGAATGATCTTGTATAGCAGCGGTCCCCAACCTTTTTGGCGCCAGGGACCGGTTTCGTGTAAGAGAATTTTTCCACGGACGCGGTGGGCGGGGGGGCGGGGGTGATGGTTTCGGATGATTCAAGCGCATTACATTTATTGTGCCCTTTATTTCTATTATTATTACATTGTAATATATAATGAAATAATTATACAACTCACCGTAATGCTGACAGGAGGCGGAGCTCAGGCGGTAATGCGAGCGACGGGAAGCCGCTGTAAATACAGATGAAGCTATGCACGCTCACCTGCCGCTCACCTCCTGCTGTGCGGCCCGGTTCCTAACAAGCCGATGGCTGGTACTGGGAGGTTGGGGATCCCTGTCGTATAGGACACATTTTAATTGCTTCACTTACTCTCCATCCATCTTTTTACTCCAGCTATTACTGTGGCAACCAACTGCTTGTCCATGTCACCTGACAGTACCTACTCACAGGCACAGTTCCTACCTTTTTTGCCTCTTGCCCAGGGGCTTCTTTGCTGCAGCCTTGTGCGACACCTACCGTTTTCTGACCCTTGTGTAAAACTGGAAGAGTGAGGGAATTAACACACAAGGGGCAACTCTTGACAATTGGGGGTGAGGGCAAGTAGACAAATATCCCATCTCTTGAATCACATTCTGTATGGCTCCACAGAAGGTGCCCAGGGGGACAATGTTCCAGTTGCTCAGGGTGGTAACCAGCTCCACATCACACCCTTGGATGGCTTTCCTTCTTTCCCATTTCACTCTTTCCAGTCCCCCACTTTTGCCCCTTGTGATTGCTCTCCGCAATAAACTACCTGCATCTCATTCTTTTTTCAGGCTCTGATTTTTGGGGGAAAGCCCACCCTAAGACAGATTCCTACGTATAATGTGGTATAGTGGAATTAGTACTGGACAAGGACCCAGGAAACCTGTGTTGCAGACCTAGCTCTGTCACTAACCTCAAATAAAGAGATGGACACTTTTATTACTATTTTCAGATGCACATGTATTGACAGGAAAAGCTCTCCAAGCCATTTGTTAACTGAGAAAAAACCAAAAAGCAAGTCAAGAAATATGCTTGCAGCATGGTCTGCAGTACACAGAAAGAGCAGGGATATGTACATATATAGGTTAACAAATTTGTACAAAATGGCGGAGTAGCAATCGAAGCTTACTATATATTTTTGTATGACTTGAATCGTTTACAAGGAGACTGTATTTTGTGTAACTGAAAAGAAAAAAAAAGAAATAAAAAGAAAGTCCACCTCCAAGCCGTTGTTCAATCATGCTTGTGAAAGTGGAGAGCATAAGTCAAAGCGCTCCACGAACACAAGGTGAGAAAGAGGAGCTGTGTTCAGGTGTGTGCGCTAGGAGGCAGCCGAGTGAGGACGACGGCTTGGCCGGCGAGAAATCGGACCTGCGGGAGGGAGGGCGGCTGAGTCTTTGTGGTCGCCAGAGGGCAGATGTGTAGGGCAACCTAAACTTACAACTAATCCACTCTTCCCCTGGCAGGACGTTGCAGAAGTCATAAATTCCATCCCTCTGCTGCAGCCGAGACAGATACGAGGGTTTTCAGAGTCGAGGGGATCCCCCTTCCACTCCCCACCGAGGGAAGCTTGGCGCTCTGAGCAGCCTGCAAGCTCTTTGATACCACATTTACGCTCAACAACTCTTTTCTCCGCCCGCACCCCCTGGCCCCCACCGGCAGAGGGGAAATTGAGTCACTGGAAGGCGAGGCCAGAGTCGCCAGGGGAATGTGCGCCAACGCCAGCCTTCAGGGCCTTCCAGATGCTGGGAGGACGGGGAGGGACCTCCAGGAAAATACACAAAGTGGGGTGAGAGGGGGGAGCGGCAGGCTGGGCAGGAGCTGAGCCAGACACATGGAGAAACGCTGCCCAGGATCAAAGGAAATATGACATTTGAAAAGAATGTGCACGTCTGCTTGTGCTGCGGAGGCGGGCAGGGCGGGGGCGGTGTGTGTGGGATCAGGGGCTGGAGCGGGGTCGAGGTCTCTACCCCCTGCCCTTCTCGCCTCCGCTTCCCAAGTTCCTCTGCCCGCCTTTTAGGTGGAGGCTGGCCGGACGTTTCAGGATGTTCCTCGCTCTCCCTCCCCGTGGGTCTCTCCTTCCTTTATTTCCGAGATGAAGCTGCAAGGGAAATGTAACCTGAGGAGACCAACCGAGGGGGAAAAAAAAGAAAAGAAAAAAAAAAAAATCAAACCAGGCCGCCTCCCCGCTCGGCCTCGGAACATTCTTCCCTCCCCGCCCGCCTGGCTTCTTCTCCCCGCCCCTCCGGCGTCTGGGCCCTGGGCTCGCCGCCGGGGCAGCTCCGCACGTCACTGGGGTCCCCCGGGGCTGGGGGGGTCCCCAGGGCGGGCCAGAGGAAGGGTGGGAGGGGTGGGAGGGAAGGGAGGGAAGGGAGGGGAGCCGCATCGGCCGCAGCGGAGCTCGGGCCGGCCGGGCCGGGCCAGCCCTCCCCTCTTTCCCGGCCCCGCTGAGCCTGTTTCTCATTAGAGTAACGGGCGCGGTCCCACCCCGGCTGCGGAGTGTTTGTAAACGTCTGACCCGAGGGCCGTCGCTTAACCCTTTAGATGCGGGGCTGGGGGCGCGGCCCTGAGCCGGAGGGATTTAGATTAAAGATAGCTGCGGCTTGTTAGACAGGTTTGTAGCCTACGGTCTGCTAGGGGGAATGGTACCCGCCTCCCACCTCCCACCTCCCACCCCCCACTCCAGTCTGGCGTCCAAGTAACTAATCTCGATCTAAATCCCTCTCACACGACAGGGCCCCACCATGCCTGCCCTTCCTAGAAACTCCAGCCCGAGTCTTTCTTCCTCCTCCCGCACAGGTGACAGGTGTCCAACTCTGGGGCCCACAAGGTCGCTGGGCTGCGGGGCTCTGGTAAACCTGGTCAGGATTATCAGGAGAGCTGGAGCGGGTTGCCATCGGATCTGAGATTCACTCCAGACTAAGGTTCTAGGGAGGAGGGAGCCGACTTTCCTAAGGGGCTAATTAATGGCCCCTCTGGGCGGCTGAGACTAGGGCAGCGGTAAAGTCCGGCCTGGATCCTCGCCCATCAGGAGCCGTGGACCTTTGAACAGTGACCCGAGACCGCTAAATGTTCTTCATTTTGGGGGGAGGGGGAGAGATGACCGGTGGAGGGCCTGATTCGGCAGGTCAAAGGCTTCCAGAAGGCCTCGGCAGAGCGGCCTTAGGCTAGGGTCTTCAAAGGAATGGCTTTCTCCTCTTCAGAGCAGCCTGGAGCCATTCTCTAACCCCAGAGCCTGGCTGGCCTTAGGCTTGGAGGAAAAGAGGAGGAGAGGTGGTCCTTCCTTGCTAGTTGCTGGCTGCACAATTCTTCAGAAAGTGTCTTCCCCGGGCCCTCTACACTGTGGGCCCAGGATGTGGCCCCTTTAAGGCGCTCGGACCCGGAGCCCCTGAACTTAGACTAAGTTGGGGATTGTGGTGGTAGTGCTCCCTGCGGGGAAATGATTGTCACAACTGAGGGCCAATAGGCATCATTATGGTCCTACCACGCTTGAGAGACCGTTTTCCAATTCAGTTTTGTTCTTTTTTTTTTTTTTTTGAGGGGGAGGGACTGGAGAGAGGAGAGAGAGAGAGAGGGAGGGAGGGAGGGAGGGAGGGACGGGGGGGGACAAGGGGCGCGTGGTTTTCCCATCTCATCCCTGGAGGAGGGGCTGGAGCATCCCGGGCAGCCAATCAGAGAGAGGCTGGGGGGGCACTTTGAAGAAGTTTGGGGAAAAAAGTTTGGAAAAGTTTCTATAATAACGAGGGGGCGTCCGGAGGGAGGCGGCGGCGGCGGAGGAGGGGGCGTCTCAGAGAAGGGAGGGCGGGAGCCACGGGTCAAGATACTGCAGCCTCCTGAGATCCCCCCTCCCACCCAGACCGGGACCTGGGGGCTCTGGCCGGATCCATGGGGGCAGCAAGCTGCGAGGATGAGGAGCTGGAATTTAAGCTGGTGTTCGGGGAGGAAAAGGAGGCCCCCCCGCTGGGCGCGGGGGGGTCGGGGGAAGGTCAGTGCGGGGCTGGGGAGGGGTCTTGGGGTCCGTGAGGGAAGGGCGCAGGGATCCTGAGTCTGGGGACTTTCGGGCAGAGAGCCTGGGGTGAGAGATGAGGGGCTCAGAGGTTGAGGGGAGGCGCGGGGCTCGGGGGTCTGCGGAGGTGAGGCTGGGGACCCGGCACCACTTTCTCCTTTTTAGGTCGTGACTGGGGTGGGGGTGGGGGGTGCCGTTGGCTGCGCGCCGCCTCTCGGCTGGGCTGTCACTGGGATGCGGGGCGGGCGGGAACAGCGGTCCCGAGAGCCCCGGGCGCTGCCAGGGAAAGGGGAGATTGGGCTCCGGAGCTTGCCCCTTGGGGACCGAGCCCTGGGCCCGCAGACGGGACGCCAGGGGCTGGGGGCGCTCTCAGGCCCAGCCGGGGCGCCCCTCCCCCTCCCCCGTCTGGCCGCAATGAGAGGCAGATGGCGGGGATTGAGCCGGGGGCGGCGGCCGCCGCTCGCACGGAATCCGCGCAGCCCGCGCCACCCCCTCCCTCGCCCGGCCGGCGCGCGGCACCCCTCCGCTGCACCCCCACCCCCAGATTGGGGGGAATGAGGGAGGAGCCACCTTCCCTTGTCATCACAGCCCTGGAGCCCCCCTTCCCCTGGCCACCGTTGCGATGGCAACTGGGGCTCCTGCCAGCGCCGTTTGGGGGTTTGGGAACCGCTGCTAATTGGGTTCATGTGTGAGTCGCCCCCAGCTCAGCCCAATGCTTCCTTAAACACGCCTCCAGGCCCAGCTCCAGCCCCTCTCGACCCGCCTCCCTTACCTTGAGACCCGCCCCGTCTGGTACCCCAGGTCCCAGGGCCAGGAGCTCAGAGTGTGATGTTCTCTGCGTAGGAAAAGACCTGACACGTCTGGCTCCATCCATCTCCTCCACCTTCCCAAGGCCAACTTTGCTTTTGTCTTTGTGGCTCTGAAGGGCATCTCAGAGACCTCTCTTTACTGAGGAGGGGGCAGCATACCAGACTTGGGAGGCTGCCTGCTCAAGGAACCTAGACATCTCACCTGCTTCTCTCTCTCCCCATCTCCTGTGACGTCCCTCTCTCTGTCTCCTTCCCTTCCCATTTTGACAGAACTGGACTCAGAGGACACCCCACCATGCTGCCGTCTGGGCCTGGGGGAGCCCCCTCCCTATGGTGCTGCCCCTATTGGCATTCCCCGGCCCCCACCCCCTCGGCCTGGCATGCACTCCCCACCACCCCGCCCGGCCCCCTCACCTGGCACTTGGGAGAGCCAGCCAGCCCGGTCAGTGAGGCTGGGGGGGCCGGGAGGGGGCTCCGGGGGGGCTGGGGGAGGCCGTGTTCTTGAGTGTCCCAGCATCCGCATCACCTCTATCTCTCCCACTCCCGACCCGCCAGCTGCGCTGGAGGACAACCCAGATGCCTGGGGGGAAGGATCCCCCAGGGATTACCCCCCACCAGAAGGCTTTGGAGGCTACCGAGAGGCGGGGGGCCAGGGCGGGGGTCCCTTCTTCAGCCCGAGCCCTGGCAGCAGCAGCCTGTCTTCCTGGAGCTTCTTCTCAGATGCCTCTGACGAGGCAGCCTTGTATGCAGCCTGTGACGAGGTGGAGTCTGAGCTAAATGAGGCGGCCTCCCGCTTTGGCCTAGGCTCCCCACTGCCCTCACCCCGGGCCTCCCCTAGGCCGTGGACCCCCGATGACCCCTGGAGCCTGTATGGTCCGAGCCCTGGAGGCCGGGGTCCAGAGGATAGCTGGCTACTCCTCAGTGCTCCTGGGCCCACCCCAGCTTCCCCACGACCTGCCTCTCCATGTGGCAAGCGGCGCTATTCCAGCTCAGGAACCCCATCTTCGGCCTCCCCAGCTCTGTCCCGCCGAGGCAGCCTAGGGGAGGAGGGGCCTGAGCCACCTCCAGCACCCCCATTGCCTCTGGTCCGGGACCCGGGCTCCCCTGGCCCCTTTGACTACACGGGGGCCCCACCAGCCGAGAGCATCCCTCAGAAGACCCGGAGGACTTCCAGCGAGCAGGCGGTGGCCCTGCCTCGGTCTGAGGAGCCTGCCCCGTGCAATGGGAAGCTGCCTTCGGGAGTAGAGGAGGCTGGGGCTCCTCCCGGGGGTCCTCGGAAGGAGGTTGCCGGCATGGACTACCTGGCGGTGCCTTCCCCACTGGCTTGGTCCAAGGCCCGGACTGGGGGACACAGCCCCATCTTCAGGTGAGGGTTGTGTCTGACACCACTGCAGTCTCCAATCATCTCACCCAGGAAGCAGGAGGGCCAAGGGATGGGTTTGAAGAAAGGTCCTAGTTCTGTGTCCTTGGCATTTCAAAAGAGAATCTGCTACCAGCTTGGCTGCTGGTAAACTACTCAGTTTTAGGGAGAATTTAAAAAACGCACCCCCTTTGGACAGATGATTTGCAAAAGGACAGTCACTCCCTGTGGATCAATTAGAAAAAGCGCCTCCAGCCCCAGAAGGACCATGTGGGTAAAGGAGGAATTCCTCTAGGGTGTCCTCCACCCCCAGCTCGGTGCTGGAACGTGGGCTGGATTTCAGCCCTACATTGGGCAGCAGCAAGTCTCCCTTCTCTAACTCAGTTTCTAGGGCCTGACTTGTGGCTTAAAAGTGTACCTGCTAGATTTGAATAAAGTAGCATGTATTTGCAAGTCAAAGGATTCATATTAAACCAAGCAGTCCTTGCTGTTCTTCTACACCTTCCACCCTCAAAGAACCTTGTCCATTTCAATAATCCTAAACCTTTGATGTCAGATCAAGCTGGCTCCATCCAGAAAAGTTTCCCTTAGTTGTTTCCAGACATTGCCAAGTATCACCTGGGGGCAATTACCGGTTGAGACTCCCTGGCCTAGGGTATCTGGGCGCTCACTACAGGAAAGTTGCAGATCCGTAACCCTCAGCTTTCTGGAACCCACCTGTCCAGCCCCAGCTAGTGGAAAGGGCGCTGGCCTGGGAACGGATGTGCTCAGTCCCGGCTCTGTCAGTTGCTGGCTTGCTTAGCCCTCTACGTTCCACCCTCAGTTTCTTTATTTGGGCTTAACAAATTAACAAAGGGGTTAATTTCTGAGACCTTTTCTGGTCTGAAGTTGTGCTTCTTTTTTTTTTAAATGTGGGATCTTAGTTCCCCGACCAGGGATCAAACCCATGACCCCTGCAGTGGAAGGGCAGAGTCCGAACCACTGGACCACCAGGGAAGTCCCTGAAGTTGTGCTTCTTTACTTGACTCTTCCTATCCAGGCTTGGGGGTTAAACTGGGCTTGGGGTTCCTCTGTATCCAGACCCTGTGTTCAGAGCTGGGAAGAAGGGGGTCTCAGTCCTGGTGCCCATTTACATACCCTCAACTCAAGGGGCTCTGAGGGGTCTGTCCCCCATCTCCCCTGCTTCTGGACTTGTGGACTGTTTTACTTCGGCTATAATTTTCTTTCTCCCATACCCACTGCCGCTTCCTCCTTCACATCCTGGGGAGCTGGGACCCAGGGCTGCCCTGATTGGGGTGTGAGGCTGCGGGTGATCAGTGCTCTTCTCTCTGTCTCTGTCCAGGACCTCTGCCCTCCCCCCGCTGGACTGGCCTCTGCCCAGCCAGTATGAGCAGCTGGAGCTGAGGATCGAGGTGCAGCCCAGAGCCCACCACCGGGCCCACTATGAGACAGAGGGCAGCCGGGGAGCTGTCAAAGCTGCCCCTGGTGGTCACCCCATTGTCAAGGTAAGGGGCAGAAGCCAGGCCTGGTAGCCTTTCTCCTCTCCAGTCCCAGATCCCTGCAGATGGGCTCCAGCTGTGCAGACCCATGGCACTGCCCTTTCCCACACTCCCTCTCAGCAATGACCCTGCAGGCGGCCTGGGGGAGGGACTGGTGTTAGGGGAGGAAGGGTGCACTTCAAGGACCCGGATGTACTTTCTACTCCTCTGTCCCTCCACCCCCCCCCCCCCCCCCCCCTCCACGCATCCCATGGGACACCAGCCTTATGTCTACTCTGGAAAATGGTGGCCTGCCAGATGTGGGGGAGGGGTCAGGCTGAGGCCAAAGTTCACTGGGAGTTAGGTTGTCTCTGTTGAGTTGAGCCAGTCTCCCTTGGAAGATTTTCCCCTTTGCCCAGCCCAGTTTGGGCCTCATTCCAAGAATAACACTGAACTCCAGGCCACGTTTTCGCCACAACTGGTGGAGAAACTAGTGCCCAATCTCCCCCTGGAAATCCCTTCCAGGATATCCTTTATCTTTCACTCCTCTCCAGGGGTGGACTGAAAACTTAGGGATGGATGAAGGATGAGACAGTGGGGATTTCAACTGGGTGGCCTTTGTCTCCCTCTGCCAGCTCCTAGGCTACAGTGAGAAGCCACTGACCCTACAGATGTTCATCGGCACCGCAGATGAGAGGAACCTGCGACCTCACGCTTTCTATCAGGTGCACCGTATCACGGGCAAGATGGTGGCCACGGCCAGCTACGAAGCTGTAGTCAGTGGTACCAAGGTGTTGGAGATGACTCTGCTCCCTGAGAACAACATGGCAGCCAAGTAGGTTCCAGATCCCCTTCCCTTTATTCTGCGGGCTTGAGGACTAGCCTTTTCCATGGGGTCTAAGCTAGGTCCACTCTTCCTCTCTCCAGAAGAGTTAGACGTCATCCCTAGGAGGTGTCAGGCATTCTCACCATCTAGAAGAGGACTTTGGGGCTGGGGAGAGGCCACCTCTGGGTTCCGATAGCCCCCCATCGTCTCCCAGAGAAGGTCATTTAGGGCTTTGGATGGAGGGTGATTCTGGCATCAGCTGGGAGGGCTTGCCTTCCGTTCTTGGCTTCAGCATTGACTGTGCCGGAATCCTGAAGCTTCGGAATTCAGACATTGAGCTGCGGAAGGGTGAGACTGACATCGGGCGCAAGAACACACGCGTGCGGCTGGTATTCAGGGTACACGTGCCCCAAGGCAGCGGGAAGGTCATCTCGGTGCAGACAGCATCGGTGCCCATCGAGTGCTGTGAGCAAAGAAGCCCTGTAGCATCTCTCTGTCTCTGGCTAACTTCTTGTCTGTGTGTCTGTCTGCCCATCTCCTCTGCAGAATGTGCGGTGCCCTGCTGGTCCTGGGGACACCTGTAAAGGACCCAGCCCTTATTTCTATCATGGATGGGCTGGGGGAAGTGTTCTACTTTGCCCCTGCTCCAGATTGTGCCTCTGGGTTGGACCAGAGCAACCCTGTCCTCCATCTGCCCCTGGGTATCCCCCATGTATTTGTTTGCATAGCTCTTAGGCCTACCCTGTTCATCTCTGTCTTTCTGCCCAGGAGTGGTTCCTTACATGGTCTGTGTGACCCCAGAGAGACCATTGTTTTTCTTGTGTGTCTGCTTCTGAGGAGGGCTCCTCCAGGGCCCTGTGACAGTTATTCTAGGGAGGGTTGGGGCACAGGAGGCTGTCCTCTCCATACCAGCCAGCCAGGCCTTTCCTGCACTGCTCTGCAGCCCAGCGCTCAGCTCAGGAGCTGCCCCAGGTGGAGGCCTACAGCCCCAGTGCCTGCTCCGTGACGGGAGGGGAGGAACTAGTGCTGACTGGCTCCAACTTCCTGCCTGACTCCAAGGTGGTGTTCATCGAGAGGGGCCCTGGTGAGTATCTATGGGGAGGCGGGGAGGGCAGGCAGGAAGAGCTTGGAACGGGAGGGTGAATGATTTCTGGCACTGTCTCTAAACTAGCAAGTTGAGCCTCAATTTCCTTATCTGTAAAATGGGGCAGATAGACTGCCCGTCCTGTTATACTGTCTCCTCCCCATGTGTACTCTAGGCATCTGAAATGCTCAGGATGGCAAATAAATGTAAGAAATACACATTCTTTTATTGAGGAGTCAGCTTTGAGCTAATTTACCCCCATGTGGCTGGGGAAGATGAGAAGGAAAGAGGTGACTTGGACCCTGAGCCCCTCCTGAGTTATGGGACTGGCAGCACAGCTGTGATTACAGGAGGCTGTGAGGTGCCCCAGAATAGAGCTGCCGGGGTGGAGAAGGGAAGACTGAGGGGCCCAGGTATACTCACCAACCTGAGGCCTCTGCTCTCCCCAACCCTGCCCACCCAAAGCCCCAGCCCTATCCTCAAGTTTAGCGCCCTAGGACCATATCAGAGCAGAGTCAGAGGTTCTGGGTCATGAGACTTGGGGTCTCATAGCCTCCCTTCAAGCTGAGACCCTTTCCTACCCTTGAACTTCTTTCCGGCTCTGTCATGGGAGGGGATGTTTAGAGCTGCATGAGAGGGTTCCAGAGTTGTTTCTGGTCCCTGGACTGGCCCTGCCATTTCTCTTGGCCCCAGCTTGTGGCTCTAGATCTTGGAGACTGCTTTAAACCATGCCTGTCCTATTGGGTTGAGTAAACATGCAGCGGGCTCCCTGTGAGCTAGGCCTTGTCAGGACCTTCTGAGTCTGGCCGTGGCTGCAGCAGGAGGGGAAATGGCGGAGGCCTGGGCACGGGGCAAGGGGTAGGGGCCGTGCGGCTGGGCTGGAGCTCCCTGTTCTTCCTGCACAGACGGAAAGCTGCAATGGGAGGAGGAGGCCACAGTGAACCGGTTGCAGAGCAACGAGGTACCCGTGTTACTAGGGTCCCCCCTGTGGGTGGGAGTAGGGTGGGAGAAGTCAGGAGATTCTCAGCCGGCTCCCTTGTGCTTGGGAGTGGACTCCAGCAGCTACCTGTCCTTTTCTAGAGGAAGCAACCTGGCCACTCTGGAAGCAGGGACACCTCTAGGGAATGAACTTTGCTCCTTTGTAAATGGAAAAAGCCAGGAGGTGGAGTTAGGGTACTTGGAAGGGCTGGGCTGAGCCTAGATCCCTGAGGGCCCGCTGCCTCATCCTCTGCTCTTCCCCAGGTGACGCTGACCCTGACCATCCCTGAGTACAGCAACAAGCGGGTGTCCCGGCCAGTCCAGGTCTACTTTTACGTCTCCAACGGGCGGAGGAAGCGCAGTCCTACCCAGAGTTTCAAGTTCCTGCCTGGTGCGCTCCGGAACAGCCCATGGTGGGGGGATGCGGACGTGGGGACTGATGCAGGGGCACAGGGATGCAGTGAGGGGTCAAGGGAGGGATGAGACCTAGGGATAGAAGAGACCTAGGGTTGGAGAGTGCGCTTCGGGGAGACTGCCAGCCCTCTCACCAGCGTGTCCTCCTTCCCATCCGTCCAGTGATCTTCAAGGAGGAGCCTCTACCGGACGCATCTCTCCGGGGCTTCCCTTCAGCATCGGGCCCCCACTTTGGCTCTGACATGGACTTCTCACCACCCAGGCCCCCCTACCCCTCCTATCCCCATGAAGACCCTGCTTATGAAACTCCTTACCTGTCAGAAGGCTTCAGCTATGGCACGCCCCCTCTGTACCCCCAGACGGGGCCCCCGCCATCCTACAGACCTGGCCCGCGGATGTTCCCTGAGACTGGGGGTACCACAGGTTGCGCCCGCCCACCTCCAGTCTCATTCCTTCCCCGGCCCTTCCCTAGCGACCCCTATGGAGGACGGGGCTCCCCCTTTCCCCTGGGGCTGCCGTTCCCTCCTCCAGCCCCCTTCCGGCCTCCACTACCTGCATCCCCACCACTTGAAGGCCCCTTCGCTCCCCAGAGCAGTGTTCACCCCCCACCTGCTGAGGGTTACAGTGAGGTAGGGCCGAGCTATGGCCCTGGGGAGGGGGCTCCGGAGCAGGAGAAGTCCAGGGGTGGCTACGGCGGCAGCTTCCGAGACAGTGTCCCTATCCAGGGTATCACGCTGGAGGAAGGTGGGTGTGGGACCAGGGGCTGCGAGTGTGAGTGTGTGCAAGAGATTGCTCTGCATGTTTGCTGAGGGCTGGAGCTTGGCCTCGCAGAGGCTGGGCCTCCGTGGTCCCTCAGGGCCAGCTGGAGGGCCTCAGGAGGCCAGTGCGTGGTGCGTGTGGCCAGTTGAATCCAGTTGAATTCTGAAGGGGGCACGGAGTACCTGCCTAACCTTTCTGCTGCCTCGGCCCTTGGCCCCAGATCACTGAATCTCAGGGCTAGAAGTACTTGCAAGATCATTCAGTCTAGCTCCCTCATCTGCAGACCCAGGCAGTGAATTTCAGAGAGGGGCAGTGGCTTGCTGGTGCCCCAGCCGAGCACGTTTTCCCTTGCCTCAGCTTCTCCCCCTAAACCTGGTGACAGTGGTCTGGATTGGTGATGAGGGGCCTTCCTATTTCGCCTCTCTTTCCTCCCACTGGCTACACCCACCTCCGGCCCTGCTGACAGCAACTGCCCTGACGCTGCAGGCCAAGCCAGCAGGAAGGGGGCCTGAGAACCCACGTGGATGGAGTTCAGCAAGATTTGATTGAGAGCAGGGGTCAGGACACAGTGGGGAAACTGAGGCCCAGTGGTAGAGAAGCCAGTGCAGGAGGAGCCTGGAGGCGTCCTAGACGGAGGCCTGCCTGGAATGGATTGGGGGTCTCTGGAAAAGGAGGCGACCTGACCCTTGCCCAGTCTCTCAACTGCCCCTCCTTTACAGTGAGTGAGATCATTGGCCGAGACCTGAGTGGCTTCCCTGCACCTCCCGGAGAAGAGCCTCCCGCCTGAACCATCGCCTGGCCCCCGCTCCCCCCTGCCCTGCCCACCTTCCCTTCATCCTGGGATGGCGGTTCCAGAGGCTTGGGGGCCAATCTGGTTCCTCTTTCCCCAGTTTCTTGCCTGCTCTCCCCTACCCTCCCTTCCCTCCCCTAGCTGAGGTGTGGCCCCCGGGGCCTGGTGCTGCCTTGGAGGGCTGGGGGCGGGGGAATGTGGAGGCCTGGGATGGGGGCGGACCCTGGGGGGGGGTACTGGGAGCGAGGACTGGAGGACTGCCAGGAGTGAAGGCCGTGTCTAGATTGTGTACAGCCCACGGTGCTGGGAGGCTGGGGCCAGGTTGATGGGTAATAAACTGCTCGCTGACTAGTGTTTCAGGCTCCAAAACTCTTTGGAGAGAGACATGGGGCAGCTTACTCTAGCCCTGGCCAGAGGAGGCTTAGAACCTGGGAAGGGATGGGATGTGGCTGGGAAGATTGCATCCCAAAGAGTATCAGTGCGAGGGGGTGGGAGGGTTTGAAGGGTCGCAGAGGCTCCCTAACCCGGGTGAGGTCGGGAGCCAGGGTTTGTAGACCTCTCCTCCCTGGGGATTCAGTTTCCTTTAGGAGCTTTGGGAAGATCTGTGTATTTTCAAGTTACTTTCTCTTGCTACCACCGAGATGATTCTGATTCATAGTCAAGGTCAGGAAACACCAGTCTAGTCCCTCTCCCTCATTTACAAAGGAGGCGTCTATGGCTCAGAGAGGGAAGGGGGCTTGCCCTATGTCACACAGCTAATCAATAGCAGGTTGAACGCTGCACTTCTGGGCTCCTGCCCCCAGCCCACCCTCAGATATCCTAACCCATGGAGGTCAGGCCCCTGAAGCTTATCTCCTTGGAGCAGGGTAGGAGATGAGGGAGGGCTGGCATAGGTCCATCCACACTCTGGATTCTCCACCCTTTGGGGTCTGTGAAGACATTCTGGAAAGATCTATGTTTCAGAGGTAGACTGCAGGAAGCCAAGCAGCTCCCCAGATGCCCTGACATTGCCTGAGCTCCGGCCTTTCCCACAGGTATACCCACATATCACCACTGACAGGCCCGGCCTGGAAACCTGGTTTGCCCCATGTCTTGACAGCCTAGGGGGCCAAGTCCCCAGTGGGTTGGGGAGAGCCTGGCATACAGGAGGCACTGAGGACCACTGGCCCAGCTGCAGGGGGCCGTACCCCAAAGATATTCCGGGTGTTAGCACTCGGGAGACTTGCCTCCCCTCAAGGCTGGTATGTCCAGTGCGTCTAGACAGGCCTGGCAAGTGCCCATGTGTTCAGCTGTGGGTGTGACAGAAGCTGGCTCTGGAATGGAGGACAGGAGAACGAGGATGACCCCTGGTCTTGTCACTGCTGCTTTGCAATGAATTTCCTTTATCTTCCTGAACACAAACTGCTGCGAACCAGACTGATATCAGGTGATTGGCTCACTGGGCCATGGCTGCTTCTCAAAGGTACCCTCCAGCAGGACTAGAGTCATCACCCACAGCAGGAGGGACCCAGGGCACACATGTCCTGGCCAGCACCCTTCAGCTCCCCCTCCAAGATCTCTGACAGGCGGCGAGTCAGCCTCCGTGAATGAAAAGCTATAGTGATGGGGACTCGCTGCCTCCCAGGGCAGACCGTTTCACTCTCTGCAATAGCACTGCCACTCATTCATTGCCAGGCATTTATTGAGCAGCTACTAAGTGCCAGCCAATGCGTCCTGGAGGACCTCATAGCCTCATGGGGCGACAGTAAGTAAACACACATTATAACTCAACAATTCAACTCAGTAAATGTTTCTTGTACAGAAAATATGTCAGGTCTTGGGCGGGAGGAGTAAACAATTTTAATATGGGGAAGGAGCAGAGCACAGGGGCACTCCATCCAGCTGTGGGGGTCAGAGGGAACTTCAGGGGTGACTTCTAGACTGGGATCTGAAGCATGACTGGGAACTGACTGGGCTGAGAGTAGGGGAAGGGCAGGCCAGGCAGAGCCACCAGATGGGCCATGTCTTGGAGGAGAGAGGCAAACAGGGAGGGCCAGCAGATGGAGGGCTTGGCACGCTCGTGGGACTGGTGAAGTTCTGGAAGTGGGGGCGCTGTGAGTGGGGACCAGAGAGGGAAGCAGGGGCTGGGTTCTGCGGAGCCTTGTAGCCATGCTAGGAAGCTTAGTTATCCAAGAATAATGGGCGCTTTCCCACTAGATGGTAGGGCTTAAGCTGGGGTTGATACAATAGATTTGCCTCACAGCTCTTCCTTGGGTAGAGCTTCCATCTGCTTCCCTGTGACTGCTCTTCCAGCACAGTGTTCTGCCCTGTGGGCCCATACTTCACACGCCTAATCCCTCTTCCCATTAGAATCCTGAGGTGGGCAGGTCAACTCCCAAGGTCATTGTCTCTTCCCAGGTTCCTACAGACATCCAGCTCCCTGAGGCTGGAGTTGGGAGAGGGAAGAGAAGGAGGCTGGATCTTCGGTCGGTGCCAGAAAAGACTTTCTTGGCCACGGTTTCTCAAAGTGTGGTCTGAAGATAACTTGCATTTGAGTCATTAGGGAGGTTTTTTGGTTTTATTTTATTTTATTGTTTGTTTTTGTTTTTAATACAGATTTCTAGGCAACCCCTGACCCACTCAATTGTATTCTCTGGGGGCAGGCATAGGTTTCTGCATTTTAAACAGCACCCTAGGTCAGGGGTCCCCAACCCCCGGGCCGTGGACCGCTACCAGTTCCTGTCCTATTAGGAACCAGGCCACACAGCAGGAGGTGAGCAGTGGGCGGGCGGGCGAGCAAGCGAAGCTTCAGCTGCCGCTCCCCATTGCTCCCCAACACTTGCTCACTGCCTGAACCACCCGCCTCCGCCCCCAGCCATTGAAAAATTGTCTTCCATGAAACTGGTCCCTGGTGCCAAAAAGGTTGCGAACCGCTGCCTTAGGTGATTCTCCAGCACAGGAAAGTTTGAGAACTAGAGTCATCTGTCAATTAAGGGTCTTTCCTTCCCACTCCAGACTCTAAAACAGCTCCCTGCCCCCTTCTCATAGATCTAGTCTGGGCTGCTCTGGGTGGAAGGTCACCTGCAAAAGTGCACTTAAGGGAGGGGAAAGGCACACACATTCCTGACATTGCAGCTCACCTCTCCCCTCTCCTTGGCTCGGTCTTGCTCCATGGACAATCTGAGATGGTCTCGGGGCAGCCTGGAGCTCTGGTGCAGCAGCAGCTGCCCCAGAACTTTTGAGTCTCCTTCTCTGGCTGGGTCTCTGACCTCTGAGACACCTGGGGAGGGCACACTGGGTAGCCTTCCAGGTGAATCTGGGCTCTGCCTGGAGCAGTTCTGTGATGCCTTGGTGCACCCCCTGCCAGACTTTCTAAGTGTCGGGAAGAAGGCTGCAGAGGAGTGGCATCTCATGGACCTCCTGGAAACTCCAGATGTGGGAAGCGCGCAGGGGTTTGGTGCTTTTTTGGGAGCTGGTTTTAGTGGCCTCAGCATCTGGTTGCTTCCACAAAACATCCCAAGAAAAGAAAAGGGAAAAAAAAAGGAGATGGGGAAGGAACCTCTAAACTCTAAGAGACTTAAGGACATATCAACAGTTTGGCTATTCCTTACCACATTAAGCATAGACTTGCCATGTGATACCACCAGCAATCTCTCCCCTACGTATTGACCCTGGTGAATAAAAAATTATGTCCACACAAAAACCTGTTCCCAAATGTTTACAGCAGTTTTATTCATAATCAACCCAAACTGGAAACAACCAAGATGTTCTTCGGTAGGTGAACAGATTAACTGTAGTACATCCAAGCAGTGGAATACTACGTAGCAATAAAAATTAATGAAATATTGATGCATGCAACAATATAAATAAATATTAAATGCACTTTGTTAAGTGAAAGAAGCTAGACTCAAGTGGCTACATTTTGTGTGATTCTATTTACACGACATTCTGGAAGAGGCACTGTGGTAGAGACGCAAAACAGATCAGTGGCTGCAGGGGGAATGCTTAGAGAACAAGGAGTAGTTGACTGCAAAGGGATAGCACATGGGAATGTTCAGGGTGTTGGGACTGTTTTGTGTGATCTCACGGTGGTGAACACGTGACTCTGTCCCACTGTCAAAATCTATAGAACTCTACACAGATGGAAATTAATTATATACAAAATTTTAAAGAGTCATTCAATCCTAGGATAGAATGTAAAGTGTAATATATGAATCTAAATGTATTATGAATATATATGGAAAAGGTGGTGGTGGGTGGGAAGGAGCTAAAATCAGTAATTTGGGGAAACAATGTTTTGACTGGGTACTGTAAGGCTAAAGACAAAAGGAATCATACGTACAGATTATAGTTGGTAAATTTGTTACAGGTTAATGATTCTGAAGCTACTTAACCTATATACTAGTGTTGAACAGTAAGTAAATACATTGTAGTGAGGTAGGTTTCTCACTGTCAGAGAAAGCAGGGGTTGGTTATCATGGTGTGGGCTGGAAGGCTAGGAGAAACCCTGTGGTGCCGGATTCAGATTGGAGATATCAGTATGAACTCATGCTCGTTTTACATATATCTATATCCATGTCTATATCTACATAATATTATATATAGAATATATACTAGAGCTATATAAATATCTATATAGATAGATCTATAATCCATAGATATCTGTTTTATATAAGTATATATAAAATACATGCACATACACACAAATAGATACAGAGACAAATATAGATATGGTGTGTATAGGGGTTAATATACATACATATATTTGTTAATATACATACATATACATATATTTGGCATATATTTGCTTTTTCTACTAAGAGAGCCTAAAATGAGTGGCACCCCATTATCAATGAAGACACCTAGCATCCAGATGTTGGCTTCTAAAAACCATTCTCCAATAAAAAGAACCAGAGTTCCTTGGAAAAATGGCTAATTCTAGAGCTAGGGCAGGGAAAATACAAGGTAATCCTGGAGCAACTTGCATTACCAGAAAGCAAGTGCAAAAAAAGGGGAGGGGTGCATATCAAAAAGACACAAGAGACAACTCAAAAGATGTTCCAATGTCCAAAGCTGAAACAATATGAGCAATGTAATAAATAATGATAATATTAGACTGTAATTCAAAGAATAAAATAAATCTCTGTTAAGTCTGCTGCAAATAAATGATTGAATAAATAACTAACTGGGGGAGAGGGACAGATCTTTACAGAAGAATTCCTGTTAATAAATGTAGAAGGAATGAGGGAACTGGAAAATCTACTATGGTAGATGGTCTACTATAAGACCATCATAGTAATAATTGCTACAGGTAAGAAGCATTGATGAATGCTAAAATCAGTAGGTAAAACTTTAAGGAAGAACAGGATATTTGCAAAGCCTCAAAGTATCTGCTCCAAAATTAGCCCTACTAATTACTGTGAGGGTTTTAATGAACTGTCCCAAATCCTTTGCTACCCCTTGCTCTAGAAGATGGAACTTAATTCCTTTTGTCTTGAATGTGGTCTGGACTTAGAGACTTGCTTTTAACAAATAGAGTATGGAAACGGGAAAATTAGCAACTTTACCGTAGAGAAACAGGCAAACACCACCTTAACCAAGCGATCAAGGTTAACATCACCAGCAATAAGTCATTTGATATCAGGTGTTCCCTGATATGATGCATTAAGAATCTCACATAAGCTCTGTGATATTCTTCCCCCAAACCCATAACCTCAGTTTATTCATAAGAAGGCAACAAACAACACTTGGCAAACGTTCTACAAAATACAGACCACGAATCTTGAAAAGGGTTGAGATGTTTATTTTTGTTATAAGGAAAAGCACAAGCATATTTAGGTCCTGATGCCAGTGAGGGAGTGAAGCTGAAGCTAGTAGGGGGAGGGGCAATCCGTGCTAAAGCTCCGTGATCTTGTAACTTTTGGAGACACAGCCTCTGCATCTACTGCTCTCAGGCCCCGCATCCATTTGGATGTGTCACAGGCACTTTGGATGCACTTTCCACCGTACTATAAATTCCTGGGTTTTTCCCTTCCTTCCAACCAGGCAGTTGCTGTTTGTGTCCTTGTCCAGGCTGCAGAACCTGAAGAAAAGAGACCCCTTCCTTCCCAGCAGGACCTAGCTGAGTTTCAATCACGCTTGGCAGTGTCCTGGGGTAGGTGGGAGCCCCTCCCTCCAGAGTGTCCCAGGAATGAACAGCGCCTGGGTTATCACCCGGGAGTGCTAGGAAGGTGACAGACACCAGGGGGCAGCAGTAACAAGGTGAAGGGTGGGGTGGGCGGGTGGGAGGAGGAAGAAGGTTAAGAAAAGCAAGACCCTGTTCCTGCTCCTGCGAGCTGTACATCCCATATCCTCTTCTGCAATTTCACACACCACCCCTTGAAGGTCGGTTCCCCCTTCTCAGGATTATCAGTCATGTGGCCTCTAGTAATCATAGATTTATTTTTAGGGAGCTTTCCCTGTCTCCTCTACTAGATTCTAAGATCCTAAAGACAAGGGTCAGTGTTTATAACTCTTTGTCTCTCCTTGTGCAGTGAATGATAAAAGTTGCCAGTTTTTTGTGTGATGTGTATTAGGGGCATGCTTTATGTGTTTTAACTCCAAGTTTTCTGCAACCCCAAACCAAGGCTCAGAAATATGTGCTAAGAACAGCAGCAACAGAAGTAGATAACACTTGGGTCCAGCTCACCTTGATCCAAGCGCCTCATCAAGCCCTTCGCAAAGCCCATCTCATTTAATCCTCTCCCGACAATCCTGGGAAGTTGTTCCTGTTACTCTTTCCCTTTTCATAGATGAGGAAACTGAAGCACAGAGGGCTTAAGTAATGCCAGGAGTCACACAGCTCCCCAGGGACAGAGCTGGGATTCTAAGGCTATCTCCTAACTCCAGGTCAAGCAATCTTTTCCACGGTACTGCAGCCAATTCCTTATCACATGGGTGAAATCAGACAAAAAGTAAACATGCAGGGTTGCCTTCAAATGAGGCAGAGAGACAGTCCGGAGATTGAACTTCAGACTTGGAATCGAAGGCCCTGGGATTCATGCTCCCGTTTGGATATCGCTCACTTCTTAAGTAGTAAAATGCAGGGGTTGGGCTGGTCCAAACAGTGTCTGAGGTCGCTTCCAATTCTAACGTGCCAGGGGGTTATGTAACAAATGGCAGCATAAAGAGGAGACTGCAGAAGGTGACCTTCCTTCTCAAGGTTGCTAGATAAAATACGGGATACAAGGGTCCAAGCCCTCAGTCCCTCCCTGATAGGGTGGCGTGGAGATGTGATATGGGCTGGGTGTCTGTACAGACTAGGGGTAGAACTTGTTTTGAGCTCCCACTGTGCCCCCTCCCCCTCCATTCTTAGGCCCTTTAAGGACGTTGCTCAGTCTCAGAGAAGTCTCCTTTGTACCTTGTCCCTCATGGTGGCAACAGACAGAGGAAGAAGGCTGGCCAAGGCCTTGGCCTGCCCTCGTACTTGGCCAGCCCCCCATGCCCTGGCTGTGCAGAAGAAGCCATAGTACTTAGATTCAACCAGGCGCTGAAACGTTTTATTACCCTTGACGTGAGTCAAGATACAGAGCATGAAATGTTTTTCCAAGGCAGAGGAGATTAAGTTCCAATTCCATTTTGGGTTGTTTTGGTATTATTTTCTCCATCCTGAAAATTTTAGCCCTTCCTAACTTAGCATCCCATTGGCTACTGACCACAGTCTCACCTGGTTTTGGGGTCTCCCAGTTTTGGGTGGCTCTGGCTATGCTCCATCTCCTGTCTCCATCAAGACTCCTCATTTTTTTCTCTAAGGTTGTAGTCGGTCAGGGTGACCTCTCTTTCTCCCATATGTAACACTGTCACCAAAATCTGCTCTGGCTTCATTGCTCATCAGCCATCCCAAATTCCATTCTATTATGCAATTTGCATTACTAATTCATTATCTAACAATCACTCTTTTTGTAAGGAATATAGAACTGCAGGGGAAAGTGTTGGTCTCTGCTGGGATTGAAAAAGCATGTACAGGGACTTCCCTGGTGGCGCAGTGGTTGAGAGTTCGCCTGCCGATGCAGGGGGCACGGGTTCGTGCCCCGGTCCGGGAAGATCCCACATGCCGCAGAGCGGCTGGGCCCATGAGCCATGGCCGCTGAACCTGCGCGTCCGGAGCCTGTGCTCCGCAACGGGAGAGGCCACAACAGTGACAGGCCCGCGTACCTCAAGGAAGAAGGAAAAAAAAAGAAAAGGCATGTACAGCAAAGACCTATCCTCACAGATACTGCAGCTGTGCAGGAGTTTGCCACATAGCTGTATTTATTGTTCTCAAAGCAGTGATTAAATAGTATCAGGTAATGGTAGGCACTGAGGACATCGAGATGGTTAAGATATGATTTCTGTCTTCCACGGGTTCACGTTTAAGAGATCATTAACTGGTGACGGAGGTATTTGTTTGGTTGGCATGGTGCTTTAATAATCCTGCCTGTTTAATATAGGGATGAGAGGAATGTGTGGCCATTGCAGTCTATCAGAGTTGCCAAAATAAAAAAAATTCTATTTCACATAAAGATCAGCTTTACTA